TCTCTTTTGGCAGATGGTTTATCATCAGTTAAGAGCGCGCGAATTAAAAATAAAAAATTGAAAAAGTTGAAAATTCCGCCCTGACATTTGTGTCGGTGATTGAGTGTCGCTGACGGGGGTAGGGGGTGCCTGGTTGCCCCAGATGTCAGGTGAAACATTATGCGGCAGATTGACTGTGGAAACAAGGCCTCTGTGCTGTGCCACTCGGGTGCTTATCCGTTGGCATTCGCTTAATGAATCGTCAAAAGAAACACTTCATACGCGCACTCGTACACGTACGTGAAATCATCAATGAGATCTTTGCCTGGAATGAGATCTCTATGGCAGATCTGAGGAGTTTTGCGATGGAGAGTGGTTATGTTATGGCTTATGGCTTTTTGGTAATTGGACAGCTATTGAAAGTCTTGTTAATGGAAAGAAAAATGGGGATATATCAAAGAAATTGAAGAGGAAACTAAGTGTTGTCGGTTACGGAAGGTTATGAAACATTTTCATACGGAAATAAGTGAAAAAGGAGAGTTAAACTTTTTGTTTTAAGTGCAACCTAAGCAATCTGCTCAAGGAATCTAAAATAATTTAATCTCTCCATGCACAGCAATTGCTAATCCATTTATTCAAACATTTTTAAGTAATTTTTAAATGGAACACTCAGCGGATGTTGAAATGTTCATTAAAAAACCATGGAATGCTGCCGTGTAAGCTAAAAATTCAAGTCATCGAACAAGAGTCTACCTTTTTGTGGCAGTAATTACCAAATAAAATCGAAAATTGAACCGAAGGGGATTCGGCATCTATGAGTTACGTAACAAGAAGCGAAACAAGAAGGGCGAGCAAGGGCGATTGCCACGCACTCGTCAAGAACTCGTTATAATTGTTCCATTATCGAATGATTGTTCTGAAAGCAACAAAACGAAATCCTTGACGGGTTATTGGAGACCCATTATGAGCTCTAATTTACGTGCCATTGTTGGCTAGCTGACCAATTGAAAAGTGTACTTCATAAACAGTCACAAATGGCCAGTCGTGATGGCCTAAATGCCCGACTTTTGTTGGATGTTAAATGCAGTTGTCTGTCGATAGTTGGCTGGGGCACGCAACAGTAGGAAGGGGTGCACGACGACGACGATTCGGTGACCCAGTTGTCAGTTTCCACTTCGATATGTATCTCTGTGTATCTCTATCTCCTCTGTATATTTGTGTGCAACAACTGTAGCAGATACTTGGCTAATTGTCGTTTGCACAGGCAACCGCATAAATCATGACAACTCGCCGAGGATGTTGAACGTGGACTGCCGCCAGCGTCTGCTGCCTTGAGAAAAACGACTACGAAACTGAACCTAGCCGTTGGCAGTAAATCATTTTGACTAGCATCTGCGGCTAAGAACCTCTCTCTGTTAATGGATCTGCAACAGAAGTTACAGTGCAACTTGAGGGCCGTACATTTTGCCGCTTCGGCGAAAAGAGGTCAAATTAGCAGCGCCATTGCATTCATTCATGAGGGGAGTTGCCGTGTTGCACTCTTGCATTACGAAAACAAAAGCATATTTCGCCACACAGCTGCACCGCTAAATGTTTGCTCGGACCACAGCTTCCACAGCATAACTGCATGCGAAAAGATACATTTTTTTGACTTGCGTAATCTTCTTGTAGTCCGTGTGTGTACATTTAAAGTAATTACACGAACAGCCAGGCCCATGAGGCGTATACGTTACGCAGCGATCAAGCGCCAAAGAGTCTTTGATTGACGCACTCAACGCTCGTTTGTCTTGAGAATTGGTTTCTGAGTACAACTACAACTCCAATATACAATTATTGTTAAATTAAATCATAATTAAGTTAGTCTCTAAGTCAAGTTTCAATGTCAAGCCGAAAAGCAGAAAAAGATTTATTAACTTAACTTTGAAAATGGTTTATGTATATTTATAGGCACATGTGTGATGATGCTCTTGCGAAAAGAGGCGTTTGGATTGTGGCGAGGAGTTTGTTGAAACATATTTTTCATCGATATTAAGGTAAGGTAAGTCGATACAAATTTTAATACAAAGTGATAGTTCTTTCCCTAAATAAAGCTTCTATTATTCATAATTTCTGGTCTTAAGAACAAATATGGAATCCTTCATCGTTATTATTCATTATCCACAACCATAGAGTATTCCTATCAGTCGCCATAGCTGCTTCATGACAGCCCTTATCTTGACAAATTACCAATCTTAAGTTCTTAAGTTGTAGGCTGTTTTTATTCGAACGATTTTTTCACATTTTAATAGAAAAATTTACATATTTTTGTGGCTTGGCACTTTCAGCTAATTTCGAATGGCATTTCCAATGCAAATCGAAACGAATATCAAATTATATTATTATCATAATACCCAGTAATTAGCGATGATGTCTTAGCCGACTTGAGAGGTGATTGAACTCTTCTCCAGCGAGGTGGTAGACCCATTAATCTTTGGACATTTTTTTGTAGGGGAAAGAAGCAGAGGCGCGTGCTTCATTTTTCATCGGCGGTTCCTTGGCTTTTGTTCTCTGTATCTCTCCGTCTATCTATCCTCGCCAAAATGTCACAAGGTGAAAGACCAACAAATTCGTGTTGTTGCGGACAACACGCCCCATAATTCTTTCGTTTCTTGATTTCGCATTTTGCATAAAATTTCATTTTATGTGTATTTCTGTTTTGCGTCGTCGTCGTTGCTGTTTTCTTCTACTCCTCTGAAATAATTCACTTAATATTCTGAGGTCATCAGCATTCCGCCGTTCAAAATGCAGTCAAAAAATCAAAATCGAACTCGAAATAAGAGTCGACGTCTCAGTCGCTCGGTGAAAAATAAAACTCCAAACTGGATCGTTGAATATTTATGCAATGAGAAGATGGACATTGAACGCACCTGCCTCTGTCGTCTTTACCTCTACAATATGTCTATTGTAAATACATCTATCTATGTTCTATATACAGCATTTATAACAGGGGCGCGGAAGCCATGCTGTGAGAGTTTCTTTTTCTGATCTGAGTATTAGCTTCGATTTGGTTTGTTTCGCTTTGATTGTGTCGAAAGTAGAACTCATATTTAGATATATGAAATGTCAAAAGTTATAGCAAAAACTAACGTTATGGCAGCCAAATAAGATAATTCATTGGAAGTCACAAGAAGAGAACTTTTTTGTTGCACTAAAGAGAAGCGAACAGAAACAATTTTGTTCCTTAATTCTTTCTCCCTTTTCCGCATGAATTTCCAAATAAATTCTCAAATAAATCAATCGAAAGCCCCAGACAATCCCCAATTAAATCCACAAACACCTACATGGAAATAGGCCCTTAAAATGGATCCACAAAAGGCAATCGGTTTAAGTGCAATTGTTAATATTTGCCAATCAATTGACACACAGACAGACACCCACCAAACCCTCCAATGATTGACCCTGACACGGATTTAGAGACAATCGAGAAGACACTTGTGCCCCCTTGCCCCCCACACTCGAGTGGTGCTACTTACCTCTCTTGTCGCGGAGGCCATTGGAGACGACCTCCTCAGAGGTAGCCGCTGGGGCTGAACGCTCCTCTCTCCTGGCGTTGACTGGAATATTCCCTCTACTGCTGCTGCTGCTGCTGCTGTTGGTGTTGCCATTGTGGCTGTGTCGTTGCTGATGATGATGGTAATTGTGTGGCACATTGCTCGTTGTGGGTGGTGGATGAATGGAAGCTACAGATGCTATGGCGGGATATGGTGCTTTGTTACCGGAATCGACACTGACCAACGGCATGAGCACTATCAAGAGCGTGAAGCGTATCATTATCACTGCCTTTTTTGCGGTCTAGACACCAGATATAATGTTGCAGCTGCACTTTACTTGAAACTTTGTAGCACTTTGAACGCGTTGCTTGCAGCGGGAGAAAGCCTCAAGGTAGAGCTGCGACCCCGGACTGTAACTGAAACCAAACTGTGGACGGTGCCACGATCAACGGAATGGGAGAGTGTCGCGTTGTGGATCGATAAACGTAGATGTAGATGTCCAGATCTAGTTGGCTATTCGGTATGCAGCTTCGCTTTCTAAATTATCAATGATAATATGGGGATCGCTAGTTAGATCTCTGGGTCACTGGCCTTCTTGTCTGTGTGCCCTCCGAAAAAAATACTTTTGTTTTCTCCGCCCAAAAGCTGCGGAACGCGGAACGCGGATTAAGTAATCGCTTTACTTTCTTTCCGCTTTTCGAAACGAGAGAGCGACAAGTGAATGCTCGGGAGAGCCAAACGATCGATCGCTCTTTGGTACTTTACTCTCACTTTTTTTCGGCTTGGACTTGACCGATCTCAAAAGTGGTCCGCACTCGATGCTGGACCCTCGTACCGTGCACACACTTCGGTTTTCGGCTTCACTTCGGGTTGTCTTTCTGTCAAGCTTTCAGCTTTCCTTGCGATCGCAGCGAGACTTACAGACTAAAGCGTTTGAACGCAACTAAAACACGTTCCATAGCTCGATTCCTCTCCGAGCTGCTGCTGCAGATCGTTGGAGCCAGCTGGTGTCTCGATCAACGGTCAGCAGAGACCGCAAATCGAGTTGTTTCGAGTCGCTTCGCTCTCTGTCTGTGCCTCTCGCAAACTGCCGTTTGCCTTTGCAACTCGTTTTGCGAGCTGACCAGCCTCTGCATTGGCTGCACCGATCGCTGGAGATCTCTGCCGGAGATGCGGTTTATGGTGTCATTTAATTACAGGTGTGTAATAGATGAAGATGGTGTTGGGATGGGTCTCAGGGATGTCTGGCTGCTTGTGCGTTCTGCTGCCTGCAAGATATCCATGAAGAATCGTTTATTTTTAGATGCAAAATCGCTTTGGCCTTCGGTTTATAAATAGTCTGAGGGCTTAAGACAAAAACCAAAGCACTTATGGGTGGAGTTGTTGTCTTTAGGGATTCGTAACAGCAACTTTGGGAATGTTAAACAGCAGGAACAAGGGAGTATTTATAGCTCCTTCCCCTCTTAACATTTCCCCTTTTAAATTCCCAAGTTAAAGATTCCAAATCTCACATTTATTGTTTAAATATTATCCGAAAGCCAAAGGAAAAATGTGAGTGATGTGATGCCAAATTGATAATTGAAATTGGAAAATAGCTGCTAGAATTTTGATGACAATTTCTCTGGGATGATCCTTCAAAAAGGTTGTCAATCCCTACTGGTTCTGGTCAAGTCCGGTTGGTTGTCGCTGCAGTTGGGTTTTGGATTTGGGTTTGCTGCAACTACTTCTTCTTTTTGCCCTTGCCCTTGCCCTTGCCCTTCTTCCCCTTCTTGCCACCACCACCGCCGGCAGCATTCAGCAGCTCCTCGGTGACATAGGTCTCGGTGGTGACCTTATTGCTGGGCAGAATCACTGGCTGCTTCGGTGTACGCAGCTCAATCTCGATGACGTTCTTCTTGTGGCGCGACTTGGCTTTGCTGCCGAGTTTCACGAGGAACACATCGCTGTCCGTCTCGTCGCAGGTCTTGTAGCACACCTGTGAAACGTTGTGAACCGAAAAGGAAAGGCTTAAGAGAGCGTGCCACAAGTGGAGCGGTTTTGTTGTGCAACAGCAGCAATTGGCAGCCGTTTGCACAGGCATGTCACGACACCATAATAAAAACGAACACAAATTCCTCACAACCATCCATCCATGGAGTGCCGCTGGAATGCGGAGGCAAAACAGGAAGTTTTCTTACCTCAATACCCTTCTTTTTGGTGTCCAGATTGAGGCCCTTCATTGTCTCCTGTATGTCCTTGCGCTCCACCTGCATGCAGCAGCTTCTTTGGTTCTGTGCGGGTGGGCAGGCGGGCACCATTTTCGGCCCACCGCCGCAGAGCCGCTGGCGATAGCATTCCCTGCGATCATCCTGGAAGTCGCACGCCTCCTTGATCTTCGAGAAGGGCACATAATAGTTGTCCGTCTCGCAGGCATCGTTCCCCGAATATTTGATGTTTGCCCGCACCTTGGGTATCTTCGGGTGATTGATGATCTTGCCCCCTGTGCGGCGTCTTATATGGTTGCGGGCAAAGGAGCTGCGCTGCAGAAGCTCGTGCAGGCAGGGATCCTTCTTCGGCTCACAGTCGTCAATGCTGTCGCGATAGCAGGGATCATCGTCAGCGCCCAGATCGGGATTGAAGTTGCTGCCATCGTCGACGGTCTCCACCTTGTGGGTGTTCTTGAGGACGCGTATGGTCAGGCCGCTGCCATTGAGGCAAGCCTCAAACTCTTCGTAGGCCTCGGGTCCCGGATCGGGGCGACGCGGTTGCAGGAAGCACGGAGCAATCTCCGGACTGCAGTCACAATCGCACACGCACTCACACTGACAGCAGCCATCGCAATCATCCATCGCTAAAGGATCAAGCAATCCATAAAGAGAACTATCGGCTGCAGGAGGAATGGAGCACTCACCTGGTTGCTTGAGCATCGCATCGGTGATTGGCAGCTTACAATCGACCTTGGCTCGCTTGCCTTTCTTGCCCTTCTTTCCCTTCTTCTTGGCCATGTTTCAGTTTCGGTAGTTTCAATTTGGATTTACGGGAGAAGATCCCGAAAGATTTACTCAATTTGGATGTTGTACTTAACCAGCAAATGGCGCAATTTCCTTAGAGCTCGTTTCCGCGCTAACAAGAAATTAAGCAGAAGAAAGTGATGTCAGATAAAACCACAAACTTAAATTAAAAGGTGAAGCCTTACGATTGAATTGAATTTTGTATTTCTATGGCAACAAAAATTTCCCCATTTGTGGAAACAAATTGGAACACTGAAATAATTCGAATGAATGAATGGACTGAATGATTGATGCTCTACGCAAGGCCAACTTTTTTATGTGTCTGTATCTGGTTAGGTTGTGACTGAACAGCTGTCTAGAGCTGTATTTAAAGGCCTACTAAGGTTTTAAATTGAAGATTTTATGTATGAACAAACAGGGGGGGAATATAAAAGGTTTTAGCTAAGAGAAACGATGTGAAAAAGGCTCAGGGAAAGAATTTTGAGACAAAAAGGGGCCAGAGAAGTCAGCAAAGTCTAACGAAGAAAAGGAGCGCTTTGGCTTCCTCAAATAAGATAGAAATCTCTTAAGAATAATCTTACAAAGATCATCTGGAGGTCAGTTTAAAGTCCTTTACTCACCCGCATCGCAACAGGCTTCGTACTGTGGACAGCAAGCTTCACAGGGACTGGAATTATGCGACTTCCGCTGGTCAAGTCCCATAGAAAGTGATTGGCCGCCAGTGCCCCATGTGTCATAGATGGTCGAGGGTCCAGGGCCATTATTGTCGCAGAAAAAACCGCCGCCCGACTGCCTTTTCTTGCTCTTTTTGCCCTTGGCATCCTTCGCCTCCTGTTTTTCCTTTTCGGCTTTCAAGTCTTTGCCCTTGGCCAGTGCCTCGGCTTCGGCCTTCTTTTGGTCCTGGACATAGCGTGGATAGGCGGGAACACCGCCGCAAGGGCCGCAGGTCTGCAGGCGCTGCTCAATGACGGATGGAGGGCGACCCTTGCAGGTGACAGTGGGACATTCTATGGGAGAAAGCGAAGGAAGATAAAGGTGGACTCACAGCTGAGGGGAGCAGTCTGTAACGTACGCCTGTCAAACTCATCCTCGCAGTAATCGCAGGGGCACTCCTTGTCCAAGTTGCAGGAATAGTACCGCAGGCACTTGGGACGATTAATATCGTCTCGTGCACACGGATCGGGCATCTGGCAGGGCTTGGGGCACGGTGGACACCCGCCGCCGCGGCAGCCACCTTTCTTCTTGTCCATGGGTCCCCCGGTGGCGCTGCCCGGTGGACAGGAACCGCACGTAGCGCAGGGATCGGCCTCACTGCCACAGGGCTGCGGACACTTGGGATTCCGCGAGCAGACCCTTGAGAACGGAAAGGAGGAGACAATCGACGGGCCGTTGCACACGAGCCGCATGATCAGGACAATGTTGCCGGTCTGCATGTTGCAGAGATTGAAGAGCGGCAGCAGGCGCTTTGAGAGCTCCGATGTGGGGCACCACTGCTCCCGGCGCCCGGAGAGCGGCTCGTAGCAGTAGCAGTCGTCTTGCGGCGCCTCCTTGTTGGGGGAGCGCAGTTTTGGCATCTTCTGGAGATGCATCTGCAGCGCTTTGCTCCAATTTGGGTTCTCCGCATCGAAGGACTCGTTCACGCGATCGAAGATGGGCTTGGCCGCCAAATCGGACAAACCAATGAGGAACTTACAGCTCTCCGTGCGCTTCTTGTAGACATGCACCTGAATGCGATCCTTCTCCGTCACGGGCGACTCCAGCGTGAAGAGGCAGCACTTGCCGCACTTTGGGCCGCACGGATTCACACATGACCCATACTCTCGATCGCAGACTGAGAGGAACACCGAAGACCTGAACGAGATCTCCGTGCAGGTGGGATACTCCTCGGGTGCGCACAAATTCTGCCGCGTGATCAGCAGATCATCGACCACGAACTCGAACATGTACAGAAACGAATTTTTGCCAGTCATTTTGTCCAAAAGAATTTACCAAAAAAAAATATCGAATTTGGAAGTGAATTTTGAGAATTTGTGCTACGATTTTGAGGGCAGGCCGAACAGTATATTAAAACTATAGAATGGAAAGGGGCAGACTGGCAGCAGAAGTTGGATTCAAGTCTCAAGGCTTGCTCATCGAAGGGTTAAAGGAAGTTCGATCCCACACAGCTCCCTGATATTTGGATTTAATCGTTTGCTGGAGCACATTCAGAGTACAACTTGCTACTTTTTAAACGCCGCTTGGTGGCAGTACTTATCCTCTACCCGTTGTCTAGAATGGGACAGCCAAACTGCTTGCGATTCGCTCTCTAATCGGGAACAGGAACAGGAACAGGAATTCCCATACTTCCATGCATGCCATAAACCCTTTAAAGAGTTTTAAGATTTTCTAGCAATGCGTAAAATACTTTATTCAACGTCACGTTAAATGGTACTACAAAAGATTGATCGACTAATTGATTGATTGAACTAATTTTGCACTTAAAAACATACAATAGCCATAAAGCGGGGAGCGGGGCACGGCACACCCAGTCCGAAAATGTATCTACATATTCCTACAGAAGCTGCAGAAGAAGGCTTGCCTTAAGATCTACCATAAAGTTGATTGCTAAATGCCAGTGGAAAAGTGTAAAGAACATAAAACAGAAAACACAGAGCAAGGAATCGATAGAATCATCGTATTACAGGAATTTACAGGATTTGGAGTAGGAGCAGGAGGCTGCATGCTGCACGCTGCATGTGTTTGGAGTGGAGTGGAAGCGTCTTGTGTGCTGCTGCTGCTGCTGCTGCGGAGGTAGTAGATCCAAGTAGATCCCAGCCTAGACGACACTAACGTCAGGCGCCGCGAAAGGCCACCGGCGGAAAGAGCCGCGGCCATTGCACAAACTCCACGCCGTAGTGCAGGATCCCCGTGGCACTCACGGCAATCATGGCGCTCCAGAAGAGCATGAAGAGCAGGTTCTCCGTGTTGAACTCCGCGGGATATGTGAGGGTGATCATGAACATGGCCATGGCCATCAGCAGCACCGATGGGAAGGCAAAGAAGCGCCAGCCCCGTCGCCACTCCAACGGCGATGGCAGGGCTCCGCCCTCGTTGTCGTTGATCAAATAATTGCCAAGGAACAGATCGATGCCGTCCTGTCGCCGCCCATCCGCAAAGTTATTCAAATAGTAGCGAATCATCGAGTTCTTGCCGTCCTGCAGGGCTCCCGCTTTGGTGCGCTTCCCGGTGCGCGTGAAGTCCGTCTTGAGCGCACCCGTGCCAGAGTACTGCAGCGAAATGAGGTCCGCGTTGTCCGCCCAGACGCCCTTGAAGAGATCCTCGAAGCCACGCGATGCCTGCTCCACGGGCTGGCCCACATGCAGGATGCCTAGCTTCTGGAGGACGGACGTGAGGGAGCGTCGGGCGAGCATGCTCTGGACGACATTGGTGCGATCCAAGCAATCGATGCAGTTGGTGCGGAAAACTCCCGTCTGCGTGGACACCAGCCGACCGTCGTCGAAGCAGTGATAGAAGGCAAACCGCTCCGTGTCGTGGGTCAGCCGATCGATGAGGATGTTCAACCGATCCCAGCGCATCTTTCGGCACTCGTGATGGAAGTCAAAGGCCTCGTACTTGACCATCGGATTGGCCAGCTCCTTGACGAGCCGCGCGAACGTTGCCTCCAGCTCTCCCTCGGCGCCCTTTTGGTCCACCAGATTGACAGCCACCTGGGCGCCATAGAGCTGCACCTGCTGCCGGAAATGAGCGGCACAGGCGGAGAGATGATCCTTGCCTGGGACTAGCCTCGGACGGGGCTTGTACCGCAGATTCGGCAGCTGTTGCCAGTGGAAGGGCATGCTGCCACGCGTCTGGACGAAGCTCGTGTGCTGTCCGTTGAACTCGACGATCTGTTCCGTTTCCACAAAGTTCGCCACATGCCCCTCGTCGTTGATGCCGCGGCAGAAGAGGCGCGTGCCTGCCCGCTGCACGGATCGACGTGTGACGATGCTCCAGAAGAAGGTCTGGCCGTTGATCTGCACCTGGTTGACGGAGACGAAGCCGTGGATCAGCGGCAGCTGGAACCTCTCCATCTTGTCGCACTGGAACTGCTGCAAGACATGGCCGTTCCACACGAATCGGGGATCGGCTCGCTGCAGCAGGCCTTGACGCACGGTTTGCGCCTGCAGCTCCCGCCGCCGTTGCATGGTGTGGGTGAGGTCGTAGCGGTACGAGAAGTAGAAGTACTTGGTGTCCAGCGTCTTGCGCAGCATCTGCAGATACGTTTCGTTCTCCTTCCGCTGGATGGCATTCGGAATGTACGGAATAATGTCGTATCCGGCCAGCCGCCACACTATTGATCCGTTCAGCACGCCCACGAACAGGCGGTGGGTGACCACCAGCAGATAGTCGCAGCTGAGCAAGTGAATCGTGCCGAGGACACCGCAGATGCGTCGAGTGGGCCGCAGGTTCAACAGCTGCCCGCCCGTTGGCTGCACTCGCGTGACCTTGTCGTGGCGGCCGATAATCAATACCTCCCCGCTGCCATTCGGCTCCACAATGAAGCTCTCGGGGGTGATGTAGAGGTTCATGTCATCGTACACCTCATTGTCGTCCTCCATGCTTATGTTCCGTATTGGTACCAAAGGGGATTTGTTCCGATCTTCGGGATCTAAACAGGGCAGAAACACATTTTATCAGTTAACATGTTGACTTATTTTGTGGGCTGTGAAGTGTTTTTGTTTTGTTGTGTCTTACTGTTTTTGATGGCCAAGAAATTTGTATTTATCTCGCGACTGCAGGCAGAGGCACACGCACACACATGCAGCAGCAACAGCAGTAGCAACGGTAGTGGCAGAACTTTTATTATTAGCTTCTTCTTGTTGCACCTGCAGCCACCCCCCGACAGCTCGCCTACGAATGTCAATAGGGTTTACAGTTAAAACACAACGCACAACGTAAATTATCTACTTAATCTCTACGTGTCGTGTTCTTTTTTGGGTTAATCTTATGATAATTTCTTGTTGTTATCGTCTTT